ACCCTGAGCGCCCCCTGGCGGCCCCGACACTCCCTCCGCCCGCCCCAGCCTCGGGTGGGCCCCACGCCCAGCCTCGGCATTTCCTCTGAGCCAGAGGATGTCAGCGTGAGATCCGAGAGTCTTAGAAATATGGAAATCATGAAATCCCCAAAACAACCGCTCGCTGCCAGACTGCTGGCACTGGAGGCTGCAGAGAACTGTTCAACTTTTATATTTTAACAGAGAGTTTCCTGTGTATCTCTGAGATTCTAAAAGACCCGAGTTTTTGCCCTGGCCAGTGCGACTGGGTTGGTTGAGCGTCGCCCTGTGCACCAAAGGGTCGCTGGTTCGATTTCCTGTCAGGGCACATGCCCAGGTTTCAGTTCGGTCTGGGTTGGGGTGTGGGTTCTCTCATCGATGAGATAGACTGCTGTTTCTCCTCATTCTGCAGATCAGGAAACTGAGGCACTCTTGTCAGGGTGGGACAGTGGAGCCACCAGATTAGAACCCTGGAGGTCTGGCTCCTTCGTTGTGTTCTTACCCACTGCACTACACCATACAGTCCCCTAGGCTTTTTGGACAGTGGGATCCTGGGATAGATGGAATGTGGCACAGGAAGATAGAGAAAGCTAGGCTAGCCAAATTGGAGAATTCTAGAATGTTCCAAAGATAGAATCTAAGACTCAGAACTTTGGAACAATAGACTCTGAAGCTGAGGGGTTTTGGCTCTGTAGAGCAATCTCAGATCCTTATAGTGCAGAGCCTAGGCCTCTGAGAGATTGAAGAGGCCCTTCAGAACAGCTAATTTACCTCCTCCTTTCACTGTTGGGGAAACTGAGGCCCAAGGAGTGGAGGGGACTCATTGCTCAAGGTTATACACTCCCAACACACCCAAATGAGCCACCAGTCCCAACAGGTTCTGTCCTGAGGCTTCTCAGACGGGGGCCGGGATCAGCATGCCCCAGCCCGCCCTGCTGCCCACACCTGACCGCCAAAGCTAAGCTGCTGGTGAAGCCTGGGGAAGTGGCAAGGTTGGTGGGCGTGGCAGCTACTGTGGGGATGGGATGGTGCTGGCCTGACCGGTTCCTGGTGGCCTGGCTCCCATCCACTGGGCTGGTGACCACAGCAGCCCAGCCTTCCCTGGCCACTTCCCTGTTTTCCTGTTCACACTGAGTCCCTATGAACAAGGCCTCCTCTGGGTGAGGCTTCCTCTGGGTGGGGCCTCTGGGGAGAGGAAGCTGAGTGATCCCTGCCCTCTGGGACCCTTCTAGTCTGGTGGAGACGACCCAAAATAACAAGGTAGATCCAGATGTGACACCTAGTACTGCGGGCTTCTTGCAGGGTGACCTTGAACAAATGTTTCTGAGCCCCGCTTTCTTGCCTGCTATGCTGATTTGACAATCGAATGAGGTATTGGGTGCAAAGAAGTTGGCACAATTCTAGGAGGCAGCAATAAATGATTGTCTTATTTTATTATACCAAGCAACTAGCACGGATCCTGGTACACAGTAGGCAGCACAATTATTATTATTATTATTATTATTATTATTATTATTGATTTTAGAGAGAGGAAGGGAGAGAGAGAAACATCGATTTGTTGTTCCACTTATTTATGCATCATTGGTTACTTCTCGTATGTCCTCTGACTGGGGATCCAACCAGCGACCTTAGAGTAGGGGGACAATGCTCTAACCAATTGAACTACCCACCCAGGGGAGGATATTTTTCAAAATAATAATTGTGCTGGGCCTGGTTGGGTAGCTCGGTTGGTTAGAGCATCATCCCCATACTCCAAGGTTGAGGGTTCACTTTTTCATCAGGGCACATACAAGAGCCAACCATTGAATGTGTGGAGGGGTGGAACCACAGGTAGATGTTTTTATTTTTTATTTTTCTGTCTCTCAAAATCAATCAATAAACACCTTTTTAAATATCCTCCGTATCTAGCATAGCTCCTCCTGGTCCCTAGTAGGTGGCATTCAGTAATTGATAGTTATTTTTGTTGCCTGTTATTATTATTATTAATTTTTAGAGAGAGGGGAAGGGGGAGAGAGAAACATCACTTCATTGCTCCACTCATTCATGAGTTTATCAGTTGACTCTCGTATGTGCCCTGACCAGGGATCAAACCCACAACCTTTGGTGCATCAGGACGATGCTCTAACCAACTCAGCTACTCAGCCAGGGCTTGATGGTTACTCTGATTTCATCTTCTGTTCACTATAATGCCTGGCACATAGTAGGTAATCAATGGATCAGTTGTTGAAGGAATGATTAGAATCTTATTAGGGCTGAGATAGAGAGATGGGCAAAGAGCCAGGTAAAGAGAGTTGATTGTCCTGAGTCTTCCAGCAGCGTTTTGAAGGAATTGGCATTTCCTAGCCGGGGAAGGGGTGGGGCACAGCGCTTCCAGTGCAACGAACTAGCAGAGTAAAGGCGCTGTCCTCCTCAGGGCCCCCAGGGTCCCCACGGCTGGTGTCTGAGAATCTTCACCCCCCTGCCCCCCACCCAGCGCAGGCGCCCCGCTCCGGCCGGCACCATGGACAGCGAGGCCTTCCAGAGCTCGGGGGACCTGCTGGACCTGAACTTCCAGTGTGAGCTGGGGCAGGGGGCAGGGTCCTGGGGGCGGAGTCGGGCACCTGCCAGGAGGGCCCGGTCCTTACCGCCACTCCCCCTGCCCAGCTCTGGCCATGAAGCACATGGACCTGAAGCAGATGGAGCTGGACACGGCCGCGGCCAAGGTGGACGAACTGACCAAGCAGCTGGAGTCGCTGTGGTCAGACTCGCCGACGCCACCTGGCTCTCAGGCTGGCGCCCCCTCTAGGGTAAGCCCGCTCGCCTGGCCCCCACCCTAGTCCCCAAAAACCAGCTGTTTTCCGCCTGGAGTTCAGGCAAGCCTGCTTGGTGTGGCTGTGCGGGTTGTGGGCTACTTAAGGACACTTCAGAGGGGACTAGTGGAAGTGGACACCTTCCAGGACCCTCGGAAGGAAAGTGGCCTTTTTCTAAGTCGCTCAAAAGAGCTCTATAGCCTCCGCCCTGATTCCAGGGCTCTCCCCCCAACAGCCCTCCCTGGGCTCTCTGTGCCTGAATCTCCAGCGCCGGCCCAACCTCCCTGGGTTGATTTTCGATGACCTCTTTTGACCTGCTCTACTGCTAATGTCTCCTTTGACCCCTCAATGTCCCGGCGTCTCCCCAGCTGCCCCGGTACAGCTCCAGCGCAGTCCCCGAGCCCTTCGGCAGCCGCGGGTCCCCCCGGAAGGCGACCAGCGACGGCGCGGACACCCTGTTCGGACGCTCCGAGAGCGCCCCGGCTTTGCTCCCCTACAGCTCGCTGCCCCCTAAGGGCCGGCCGTCATCGCCGCGCACCCCGCTCTACCTGCAGCCGGACGCCTACGGCAGCCTGGACCGCGCGCCCTC